AAGTGGCAAAGCTGCGCTGGAAATGCTTCAATTGCCTCATAATTTTGATGCTTGCTTCATGGACATTCAAATGCCAGAAATGGACGGGTATGCGTGTTTGCTTTGACTAGTGTTAGCTTCTTTTCCTGCTTTATTATACTTATCATCATTTCAAATTTCTGTTGTATTTTGAAAAGTCTAGATTAGCAGAACTAATCAGGTATAGTGTGGTTTCAATACAATATTTAACATAAAAACTACCGTGTGAATATGAAATCTTTTACAATTTATATGCATTCAGCTACCTAGTTGAGGCTTATTTACTACTATTTGTGAAAAAGCGTCACAACTTAGAAATAGCCTCTGCTACATTCTGGAGTCTTTATATGTTTCTTCTTGTGTTTGAAATTTATTGATTGGAGAATTTCTTTAAGGGTATACATTAGCATTGTGGAGTTTGAGAAATAGCATCTTTGCAACAATGTAAGGGTAAGTGTTAGAGAGATATAAAATAATTAATTTAGCCTCATCTAATCCCTTAAGGTTTTGGGTTGAAGTGGCGTTTATCATGATATCAGAGCTTCAGTGACCACGAAGTCACGGGTTCGATCCTCGTCGCGCCCACTTTCAGGTGGAATTAAGAAAAGCACAAGGCAGATCAAAAAAATGGACTTGTGCAGCACAATGTATTGAATCGACTCTCACGCCCTCGCAAAGTTAGGGAGGCTTGTGTACGGGGTTTGCCCTTTTTATTCCTTAATTTGCTCTGTATCTTGTTCTGTACAAACTTGTTAACATGCCTCAATGTGCTAATTCATGTGAAAAAATGTTGTCACTTGTCACCACTTTTACATAAAACTTAGTTTGAGAAAAATGTATGGACTTTTGGAAAACATCTAAATAAATGTTATAAATTTTGCAGATTTGAAGCAACTAGTCTAATTCGGATGATGGAGAGCAAGGCAAATGAGCAGATGAATGGTGAAGGAAATGAAAGGGAAAGTGAGTGGCATGTTCCAATATTAGCTATGACAGCTGATGTAATCCATGCCACATACGATGAGTGCTTGAGATGTGGCATGGATGGATATGTTTCCAAGCCATTTGAGGAAGAGAATCTCTATCAGGAAGTTGCAAAGTTTTTCAAATCCAAGCCCATCTCAGACTCATGAGGATGTGCTTAATCTGCAGTGAACTTGGCAAGCAACTAGATTAGAGACATTCTAGTGTGTTCACTACCAACACTGTTTCATATGTTGCAGGTAACATTTGTTCTCATGTAGAGAGCAACATTTGGTTTCCAACATATTCGAGGATTCTTAGATACAAAACGAGTTCATTGATGAGAGATTGTTTCTAAACAGTTGCAGTTTGACATTATAAAAATCTGAGTAAATTTATACCACGCCAAATCCTCCAACTGTGTACAGATTCTCGGAAGAGGATGAGTGAAATTATGTAAATTCAATATGTTTTGTAACCATCTTATTATTAGAACCCCATCAGATTTTTTTTTTTAATTAGCTTTTATGTAAAGGTGTCTTGTAAAAGATTTTGTCACTATGTTCAGAAATGTTGGTGCCTATATGTAAGTTTATCTCTCTCTCTCTCTCTCTCTTTGGAGATAGCTGAATTCATAAATTACTTATATAACTGATTTCATCACTTGCAAGAATGTGCAATTAACCATTTTTATGTAATTGAATTAATTTTATGTTATGCAATATCATTCGTGGTATCAATACTTTATATACTTAGTGTAGATTCATAGAATTCACAAAAGAGAATGTCAAGTAAAAGGAAATGTTATTATTTTTGTTTTTTTCCCTTTGATGAATTGAACAATGTTATAAACATGTATTGATATTTTTCTTCCAGGAACAGATATGTTTTAGTGAAAAGACTAGTAAATTGTATTTTCTTTATAAAAAAAAAAACTAGTAAATTCTTCTTAGATATCTATGGATTAGAAGTGATAGCATCATAATATAGAGGGAAAAAGTGTCATACCTGTAGGCTTGGAAACATCTAAGATATCTCTATGTATATCTTATTTATACGATTTTTTATTTTTTTTATTTTTTTATTTTTTGGTAACAATGGAGGGCCTTAGCCCAAAAAAACACAAAAACTATTACAAAAAAAAAAAAAAAAAAACACAAAAACTAAACAGGTTCTAACGCCTTAATGCTGCCATTAGTCTCCAACATAGCTTCGGCTATTTCATTTGCATCAGCATCAAGTAACGTCTTGATCTCGTCAGGAGGTGAATTGAGCACAAGCATGTTCCTCTGATGGCAGTTTTGCAGCTCATTCTTTGTCAGCCAATCCGCCGCTTTATTTATAAGATTTACTTGTAGGTATTGAAATTTTGAATCTCTAATGTCTCCTCAAAAAAACTCAAGCTCAAATTTAATGCAATCGTATTAGGATTAGTATATTAGATTGATATTCTCCTTTAATTATATCAGTTTGTTTTTTCTATTGCTCATTATTGGGCTTCACATTATATAAGCTTCTTATATGAGTCTATAACAAATATATATATGTCATTTTCTACATGCATATTTATAATCAATTTAATTATATTATAGTTAGAATAATCTTGTTTTTGTATATCTACATTTACGTTCTGTCAATTATACAAATATGAAAGAAAGGGTGATGTATGCTGTCAGTAATTGCTTTGGGTGACAAGATTAAGGAACAGAAAAGGGCAATCCTCTATGAACATTGAATTCGAGTCATGAGATTTAGTAGATTCATTCCAGCAGCAAGTTTTGACCTAATAAGCAACTACTGAGAAAACAAATTGCAGTCAAGAGAAATACGTTATTTTTATTTACTAAAATTTCTTTTTAGTCCGTATATTCCATATTATATTATCAAAATTTAAATTTTTAATAATTTAATCCCTTTATTTATTGGGGTTTGCATTTGTCAATTAACATGACACAACAAACTTTTCTACACACAACATTTTGTGGGGCCCACACTTTTTGCAGAAAAAAAAATTACGGCACGCAAAACGAATCTCTATAACATTACACAATCACTTTTCTTACAACATAACTCTTCTTTATTTTAGGGAAAAGTTACAAATCTCCTCCGCGGTTTTCTCTAAAACTACTCACCCTGATCTTATTTTTATCACTTAATCTTTGTGATTCTTTTGTCCAAATCTATTTTAATATCATTAAAAATTAGGTTAACCTATTTATTTATTTATTTTTATTTTTTCTTTTGTAACAGTTAACGTATTTATTTTACCCTGTGAATTAAGCAACAATTATAGAGCTTTTGGGAAGCAACTCATGTTACTATGGGGTCTTTTTTAATGACAGCGGGAGTACCAAACTCTCCACTCAATGGCTTGTCGAAGGATTTCCTACATTTTAAAAGATTATGCTTAAATAGTTTTGATAATGTCAAAGCACGATGAATTCAATTTGAAAATACTAAAGTTTCAGGTTAAATAATTTTTAGATTCTTTGTAACACATTAGATATATCACTAAGCATAATTTCAAGCTCCATTGCATATCATTGTATTCCATTGCATAACATATATTTAGCTATGTTGAGTGACTTATTAAAAAAATTAAATAAACAGGTTTTTAAAAATAAAATCTAAGTCAATTAAAATATGTTTTTATAAAAACCAAAAAGTAAAAGTAATAATAATAAAACTAAATCAAGTATATATATATATATATATATATATATATATATATATATCTATATCTTACTATATAGAAAGGAGAACCAAACTTTTGAAAATTAGCTGAGGTGTCGCATTCTCCTTAAATCTCAGCTTTCTGTTCACACTAGAGGATGTCTTGAAAACTTACTTCTTTTCCATGTAGTGAACAAAATATGTATGTTTGAATTTCTGTTCGCACTAGAGGATTCTTTCCGTTTTAATGTAAAAAAAACTTTTGAAAATTAGCTGAGGTGTCGCATTCTCCTTAAATCTCAGCTTTCTGTTCACACTAGAGGATGTCTTGAAAACTTACTTCTTTTCGATATAGTGAACAAAATATATATGTTTGAATTTCTGTTCACACTAGAGGATTCTTTCCGTTTTAATGTAAAAATAGCTGAATCATTAAAACAGGTGGGTGATTTCATTTCAAAATTCAAAATTTTAAATCAGCTGACTCATTAGGTATTTTTGGGAGTTAATTAAGATCATAATGGTTAAAATGTTTTGAAATTTTCTATGTATTCATTGCATGTATAAAGACGATATTTGGTGTTGCTTTTGCCTTTTGGTCTGTATGAAATAGCATTACGCAAATAAATTAAACTGTATCATAACTCTTACCAAGAATGGTATGCACATAGTCAGAATCGTCTGAATCATCAAATAGAGGACCAGCTCCAAGGGCATAAGACAATGAATCATTAAGTTCACCCAAGTAATAAAAGACCTGAAGATCAAAAGTTAAAACATTAGATCTAAAAACAAAGCATCAAACCAACTTCAGTATCTAAAAATTAAAAACTGTATGGAAGTGAGAAAACATCTGCCCCTCAGATACAATGCTCATAAATATTAAAAGGTGGAAAACTGATACATATTTCCCGCATCTCAAATATTGCAAATATCAACATCATCAACACCTTTAACCCAAACTAGTTGAGATCTCAAACATTGCAAACTAGTGAACAATTTCCTATACTTTCATTCATTCTTTCTTCCTCTAAGTTAATTTGACACTAAGTTAACAACCAAGCTATTTAAAGGAAATGGCTTCATTAAGCAAAGACGACAGCACACAAATTTTCAATAGCAAAATTCCAGCTTATCAGTTAACTGAACAATACCTTTGATACAAGAAGTGCTGCAAGTTTCCTTTGATGATGATCAAACTCCTCGTCTTCATACAAACTCTCTCTGTTCACCACTATACTTTCACTCATTTTTTCTATAAAACTAGCATTATAGTATGTTGAGCATGAATAAATATTTTCATATAAATATGTTGGAAAAAAAAGCAAGACTAAGAAAGAGGGAATTTACTCTTGTCCAACGGAATGCCATGGTTCCCAACCAGTAGGTTTTATAATGTTGGACATATAGGTGTTATAGAAAAGAACTCTAGCGTAATCTCTCCAAGGCCTTCCTAAGTAAGTTTTCCCATTTCCAAAAACCTTGCAATCTTTGAAAACAAAACCAGTTGCATCGTTTGGATTATTTCTCCCATGTGCTGTGATATAACCAGGCCTACCTGGACCCAGTGCCGCATCAATAACAGATATGGAACACCTCTGAAAAAAATAAACAAACTAATTATACATAGAATCATGGTTTTGCAAATCCGTAGTTTATCTAAAAAAACTACTCATACATAAATACAATTTTCATAATAGGCATAAACATAAACTAAGAGATAAAGTAAGTTGGCTCAACTTCTTAGGTTGCTGTAAAAAAATTTCTTATATGCTATCAATTACAACTATGTATTATGAGTAGTACATTGTTATAATATTAAAAAAAATTATTCGCTACATCAATCGACAGACTTTTGAGGAGAGAGAAAAAAATAACTTTTAAAATTATAACTATATATTACCCTTAATACATAATTATAATTGACTATTATTACCTCAAACAAAGCATGGCCTGCACCAAAGATAAAATCAACAGCACCTTGTACGGTACAATACTTGTAGTAATGTCTTCCTGATTCGTCCCACAAAGTGTCTTGGAAACCAAAAAAGCCAACTCTATAAAAGTAAATTTTGTCACCGCATACCTTCGCCGCTACCGCAGGTGCCATGTCACTTGCCAAGTCATTAATTTTTAATGGATTGTTGTATGAATTCTGGTCAGAATAATGAGACAAATTTAAGAACTTTATCCCAACTCAATACTCTTAGGATTGATAACAAATAAAAAAGACTACAAAACTATTTAAAAAAAAAAAAAAGACTACAAAACTAAACATAGATTCTGTAACAAAAAAAATAAAAGACCAATGCTTACCCAAAAAAAAATCAAAAATCAAAAAGTGAAATGTTGAAATCCAAAAAAATAAAAAATTAGGGGAAAAAATAATATAAAAGTTTCTACAAATAAGCTTCTGAAATATTAATATCTGGACAATTCATATGTATCACTAAACTACAATAATTAGGAATTTAAAATTCATAGGTGTTAGACAAGGTGGGACATACTACACATGAAAGATAGCATTATTTATAATTTGAAACATAAATAAATGAATTGCTATTATTATTATTTGAAAATGAGAAGCTTCAATCTAAAACATTGCCTTATTGACAGAGGTAAATGGAATTTTTAGTAAAAGATACATAAATGGTTATTATTAGAATTTAATTAAATATATCACATGATTCCCGCAGATAATTCAACCGTTAATATTATTTCATCACAGATTTAAATGAAACAACAATTAGAATATTTCTCACCCTAAAACTCATGTATTTGACAAAAATATTGTCAGCCAGGAATTCGATCGTAGGACTTTCAGCGGTTGAAGCATGGTCATTCCCATCAACAATAGTGTTCCTATTTTCTCTCCTACTAGTGGGATGTAAGGCTTGTCAAATGGAATTTTCACTTTTTCCCTGAAAAAAAACAAAACATACTTTGCTTAATCCATTAAGATTTGAAAGATAGATAGAATAATTGACAATCTCAATAATCTATCGTACTTAATTCATTAAGATCTTTTAATTATAATTTTTAAATCACAATCAACTAAATTATTTTTATCATCTCTTAAATAATTGGTCTTTTGACCATTTTAATGCTACTTAAACAAACAAAGTACAAAATTGATGGAAAAGGAAATATATATATATTTTTTAAAATAATGTAACAAGACATGCACAAGGAGTGTACGTTACTTGCACATAAACAAATAATCATCAGCTACGTGATGCACTATAAATCACTCAAGAGATGTGCACAGTTTTCACTATTAAACTCCTCACGTATGCACCCCATGTTCGATATAAACTCGCACACCCTATATGTAAGAACCCGCACCGTTAATTAAGATATTTAATTAATTAATTATGCAAAAATAAGAAATGATTCCATAATTGATCCTAATAATTATTTATGAGGCTTAATAATCATAATAAGTGATTAAGAATGCTGAAAGTCGCTTTTCGGAAGAAAAGTGCAGATACCGGTTCTGCTAGTCGGTATAACTGTGTACCGAAAAAGTATCCCAGAAAATTAAATTAAGTACATGATAATTACTAGAATAATATGTAGGACTTGTAAATCGAGTTTCAAGTCCAAATATTGAGAACTGGTGCTAGAAACCGGTACTGACTTGGAAAAGCGTGTACCAGAAAGTTGCTCAGAAAATTATAAGAAAAATATGTTAATTCTTAGAAAATTATGTAGTTTCATAATCCAAAGTTTGGGATTAAAATGCTAAGCGTAGCAATTAAAGTTAATACTGCGTGCTTAAGTGAGTTTTGGCTATAAATACTCCCATTATGGGCACAAAACCCTAGGATCAGATTTCTCTACGTGAGTTGGGGCTGACCATTTGCTGGTTATTGTTCCATTGGCTTTCCCTTCCATTTCTTGAGCCAAGTTGTGATCTTTCTTGAGTTTCTTCACATTTCCACCTTGTAAACACTTGGGAGCAGCCTTGTGGGAGTGAAAGAAGGGTCTTTTCTGAGTCTTAGCCACTATTTGAGTCAGTCTTGAGGGCTAAGTTTGGAGGTTGAGTAGTGGAAGCCTTGGTCTTGCCATTTGTGAACTCCTAGTGCCTATCTTTGTGGAGAAAGGAGCCATCTATTGTGCATTTTCGTGCACCTTCTTAGTCAGAATTGTGAGGAGCTGTGTTGAGCTCCAAGAGCATCTCCATTCTGAGTTTTGAGTCTTGGTATGTTGTACCAACCTTTAACTTGAGTTTTAAGGCTTAAAAATGGAAGCTTGATGCATGTTAAGGTTAAAAGATGATAACTTGTTGTTGGGTAAGGCTTAACACACCTAGAAATGCATGATTAGGTGTTTAAAATCGGTAAAAGGGAACCTTTAAGGGATATCTTCACGGAAATGCAGAAACTGCATTCTGCCGTGAAATATCCGGATATCTGCCCGTGGAATATTTGGCCCATACTAGACCAGACTTAGCTTATGCTGTTAGTGTTGTCAGTCAGTTTATGCACGATCCAAAGGAGAAACATATGCAGGCAGTAGAGAGAATTCTTCAGTATCGAAAAGGTACTCCTGGTAAAGGGTTGTTATTCCGACGTGATGGCAATCTATCTTTAGAAGTCTACACAGATGCTGATTATGCTGGATCCGTGACTGACCGTCGTTCTACCACTGGTTATTGCATGTTTCTTTGTGGTAACTTGGTGACATGGAGAAGTAAGAAACAAGATGTGGTCGCCAGATCAAGTGCAGAAGCTGAATTTCGAGCTATGGCTCAAGGCATTTGTGAGTTACTGTGGCTGAAAATTGTACTTGATGATCTAAAAATAAAATATGAGGGACCTATGAAGCTGCTATGTGATAATAAGTCCGCTATTTGTATAGCTCATAATCCAGTTCAACATGATCGAACTAAACATATTGAGGTCGACCGCCATTTCATCAAAGAGAAACTTGATAGCGGGTTGATTACCACTCCATACATTCCCACTGGGCGTCAATTAGCTGATCTATTGACAAAGGGGCTTCCTTCAGATAGATTTCAAGAACTTGCTAGCAAGCTGGGAATGATAAATATCTATTCCTCAGCTTGAGGGGGAGTGTTGTAAATAGTAATTATGTAGTCATTTATTAGTAATTATGTAGTCATTTATTGCTGTTGTAAATAGTAATTATGTAGTCATTTATTAGTAATTATGTAGTCATTTATTTGTATTTATTTAGTCCGTTAACTTGTATATTGGGCCAAGCCCATTAGGTCAAAATTAGGTCAAGAAGTCTCTATAAATAGAGACCCCTATGTACAGATTCAAATACGATTCAATAATATTTCAAATACCCTTTTATTTCAAGTTCTTGTATGACTTGATCACTCAAATAGGGATTTGAGGGTTAGGGTTCACAATAGAAATATTGTAATTTTAATCCTAACAAGGGTAAACACTCATTCTTGCATGATCTAGATATAGGCTTGTAGGAATTACAAACTTTCATAATTCGTCGCGCTTAAAGCTTAATATGAAAGGAATTACTAAGACATTATGATTCTAATTGAGTTAAATAGTTAAAGGTACTAAGACATTAGGATTTAACTAACCAATTAATTAGAAGATGAATTGTTTGAAACAATTGGGATAAATTATTATTGAAATTAATTTAAACTACTCAAGGGAGATCATATGTGAAGTATACCCTAGTTGTAGTCTCGTTATTGATTTCTTAAAATTCGTTTTAATTCTCTGCGTTCGTGTTCGAGTTTTATTTTAATTGTAATTATCTTTATTTTTATTTCAAGTAAAAATTATTCTTCTCTATACCTATTGGTTTGTCCAAATTAAGGGGAATAGTGAGAATATTGTTTGGTGCAATTAATCCTTGTGAGACAATAACTCTACTCATTACTCTATTACTTATATGATAAGTATACTTGCCGAGATAGCAACAAGGAGAAATGTTTTAAGGAGATTAAAAGAAGAAAGAAAGGAGAGGAGAGAGAGAAACATACTGCAAAGGAAGAATACTACCTTGCTAAGAATGACAGTGTTGAGATTTGCTCTTTTACTAAAGCCCAATTGAGTCTAGTGTGTAAGAAGAATCCAAAAATCCTAGAGCCATTCAATTTAGGGCTAGGGTTTTTTGGAACCCATATATATTCTACATTATAGTCATCAGTCTCTTAGGTCTTCACTGTGTAATTGCAGAGGCTAAGGTAAGGTCATCTCTGTGTAGTGAATGAGTGCCCACACACCAGCCCTACTCCCCCGTGAGAGATAATCTGAAAGATCTACCACTAGTCAACTTCAAGGATATTGTTCGTGCAAAGGAGAGCAATTCATAAAGAGGAATCAAACACAAGGAGATACTGCACAGATCTGCGCGACAAGAGATAAATAGAAAACGATGATGATTCGTTGCGTCCCAAACCTCAACGGTCTAAACGCTTCCGTAGATCCAATTGCGCCTACAGACATAAGAAGCATATATATATATATATATATATATATATATATATATATATGTATATATATATATGGGAGAGATCATTTGACTCCAGAGTAAGACTTATAGTTTAGGAAGTTATCATAATTAATTAATTATTAATTACAGTATAAATGACAACCGTTGATTTCCGTCAATTAACAGCTGAGATGTAGAGTAACACTTAAAAATCTTACTTTTGAGTCAAAAGAACCCTCCCTATACATATATATATATATATATATATATATATATATATATATATCAAAGAGAAGCTCGTTTCTATTTTTGTGTAAAAAAAATATAAACTGAATTTATTAAATATTATTTCTAACCATTTCTGTTTCATATACTTAAAAATAAAATATTGCTGAAAATGTAGTGATATACACCCATATATAGGTTAAATGCTTGATTCAAAACTTAACTCATTTACACTCTACAAATTTATCAGGATTCTATGTTGTACCGATCCATATTTCACTTGAATTATATGTTTTAATCTTTAGTCCATGATTTCATTCTCAACAAGCATAACTTGTACATTTATGGAGCGTTTGGTAGAGGAGAAATTATTTTTATCCCAGAATTTCGATTTTCAAAAATATGATTTTCACATTCAGTTTACGATAATATTCAAAAATTTAAAATTTAAAAAAATTCAATTTCTCAAAAATTCAAAAAAAAAAACCGTGTACCAAATGTTCCATGGTATTCTTCTTCTTTTCGCCCCATATCTTGGAGGTATATATTTGTGGATTTCAACAATTTTTTTTTTGTTGAGATAATTCAATCCGTTTATCGTTTTACGACTAATCCGATTCGATGCAAATTCTGGAATTAAGACTTTAAATTTCTCTAAAAAATAAAACTAAAAAAAATCTAACAGATGTTCTTATCTCCATATAGTCAATAGAAAGGCAAAGAAAATCTAACACGATTGTCTGAAGTCTGAACGCCATTCAAGTCAAAAACTTCTTATGGGCAGACAGAAAGGATAAGTAGTCCAGGACCGGATTCATTGAATTTAGTGGAGTATTTGGATGAAAATATGCCTTCGCTTATAATAAAGGAACCATAATTAAAATCAGAAATCAGAATAATAAAAGACTGAAGAATGATTACGTTGAAGATTCGATTAGGACTCAATTAATTGAAACTTCTCTGTTATGTGATCCTGAACGACCTGAGTATTGTTGCCTTGCTAACAGTTGTGCAAGTAATGCGCGCAAGTATACGCGACAACAAGTAATATAGGGCTGTTATAAGTCCCAGATATCGTTCCCACAAGGATCGTTGGCGTTTTGAAATGACTAAAGTTTGTAATTGCTTAAAACTGAGTTGATATTTGAAAATAAAAGAAATAAAAATTGTAAGGTAAGAATAATCTAGAATGGATCTAAAATAATACTGTTCACTTTTCTTTTAAAATTTTTCTGAATTACTTTCCTAAGTTATAAAATAAGAATGAAGAATGGAGCAACTTAAATGAAAGATGTGACAAAAATTTTGAAAACGGAATAGAGATTGAAATATGAAATAACAAAGGAAATTGGAAAATCTGAATTGATAAAGAGGTTTAAAAAGGTGGGTTGAGTTCTGGCTCTCCTTCCCCACAGTGCTTGAAAAATAATTTGATTAACAAAAAGCTCATTCTAAGATTCTCAGTTAACAGGACTGTATTGTTAATTTTTAATCTCTTAAAAATTATTTTATCCCAAAGTTGCCCACTTCCATATCTCTATGCCAAGTGGGATTAGGACTCTTGAGATTCAGGTCCAATATTACATGAGGACTCATTCATTTCTGAATTGAGATCCCTTAGATGATTTCTCATCTAAGTCCATGTGTCTAATGCAGAATCCAGAATTAATTGTTTCTCAACAACTAAATCCTAACCAAACATCTGACAATTGGCCAAAATGCAGATAATTTTAAACATTAGAAACAACATTAAACAACTGAGATATAAACATTAAAACCAGGAAATCAAATATTTGACAAGCATTGAGGTTTGGGTATCACCTAAACCCAACCTCTAAAAAGTTAGCCACTATCCATATGGATGAGGCTTACACACAGTAACAGAGAACTACAGAAATCACAAAATACAAATTCTAAAAACTAAAATTACAGCACTGGCCTAACAACCGGCAATCTCAGTGCTGTAAAGACATGCATCAAGTTCATCAAATGAACCAGAATCTCATTACAAAACAGAAATTAAAAGAAAATCAAAAATTATTCAGAAAACAAAAACTAAGAAAAACCATAAATCAGAAACAGAAGAGAGCAGCCCCGATGACTCACTCCTATTTCCCTTTTTATAGGGCTCTTTGCACACTATCCTCTTTTTCTCCAGCTCAGCAATATGACGCGCTGCTGCAAATGAGTGGTCCCCACAGTGCTCCACTCCTCTGCTCTTACAAATCGGATGGAATTGTCGTTCCTTCAACCCGTACAATAACGTGTGCTCACAATCGCTCCAGCATCCACTAAGTAACGGATCTTTGTTTGGCTTTTTCTGAATCCAAAAATAGTGGCTAGGGTTTTCGTGATTTCTTTTTCTTCATGGACTGTGGGTATGGGTCAAGATGAACCGTGGACAAAGGATATTCTGACCTTCTGAATCGATTTGGGGCAGGGATTAGGGATGGCTGAAGTGGGTTCTGATTGCACGACGTGGGTTCGCTAGGGTTTGCGTTTTCTTTTCTTTTCTTCACGTTTCTGCCGCAGACTTCTCTTTCCTTCCCTTTTTTTCTTTTCCTTTTCTTGCTTTCTTTCTTCCTTTCCTTTTGGGCTTTTTTAGGTCCGGCTCATCACTTCCCTGTACTTCTTTTTTTTTATGCTGACTTCTTTTCTTTCCTCTAATGGGTATTTCTGATGAAAAAGGAAAATGGGCCTGAAAAATGGAATGTTACAGCCCATTAGCACTTTAATCAATAAATTCAACTCAGTGTAAATTTGGGGCTTTTACTAACATAAAAAGTATTCTTTTATTTCTATTTGCACATTAAAACCATATGTTTCAAGTCTCATTTAAGAGACTTATCAAGTATATTTAAGTTGGGTATACAAAATTTTATACAAATAAAAAATTAATATATATATCAACAGTTATAGTTAAGCAAATTAATAACTAAGATTTGATATAAGATTTCTTATTCTTATACTGATATAAGAATAACATAATATATATAATCTATATTCAATTTTTGTTAAATATCAAGTTATCAACCAATAACTAAAGCCCTATTGGACTTGATTAATTCAATTTTAGATTTGAGTCTCTTCACCTCTTAATAAATTACAATCAAGATTGTTGAATCGCAATACATATCGTGTATTATTTGACAGAATTTTTGTATCGCGTATTATGAAACGTATCAATTCGTAAGATACAGAAATATTATAAAAAGTAATTTAAAAATATATAATATAATTAATATCATATAAATTCAAATTCCAAAAAAGATACAATAAACAAAATACATAAATAATTAAAGTGCAAACCAATTATTCTCCTACTCATCAATCATTAAGACTAATATTATCACTACTATCACTATCACTCTCTATCAGTAACATAACTAATCCATCATCCTCTTCCAAAAAAGACCCTTTTAATTATTATTTTTAATTTAAACCGCAAATAAAATCTTCATTTATTTCTTTTATATTAAGATTATAAATTTTAATTTAATTTTTGTATCGTATGATACATATATCGTATCATATGATACACATATCGTATCGTTTGATATAAACCTCTTTATGATATATTCCATGATACATATCATTAAGCTTATGAATCGTATTATATCGTGTATCGTAAGATATTAATAACTATGATTACAACTATGAAAAATTGAATTATTAAATCCTGAGATCTAACTACGACAACGATAAACTAACAACCCTTAAGTATATTCAAGTCCTCTTAAATTGTGATTCTATGTTTTAATCTTCGGCCACAGTTCGCCCTTCGTCTTTTTTCCCCAATATTTAAAACCGGTGGTGTCAATCTTGGAGGAAACATTTGTGAAAGTGTTCAATGAACCTTAAAAATAAAAATATATATAGATTTGGTAATTAGAAAAAATCATTGAGAAAATCAATATACTTAAAAAATGTATTTTATTTTATTGGTGAAAACTTAAAAATATAAATTTAAACAAGTAGAAGATTATACTTAATACCTCTTCCAACCAATTTTCTTATTAAGATTAACTCAATTAGTATTGTCCAAACATTTAAGAAAAACAAAAAACAAAAAAAAATTCTTGCTCAAGCAAAATGGTCAAAACTAAGATAATTTAGCCATGGATTCAAGCAAGTTTAGGGGACCACACAGTATAGGGGTCAAGGCATTAGGAGAGGGCATGCAAATGCAAGTGGAAGACCGTTTTTTAGGGAGGGAACCCTCACTTGTCATAGCAGTCATTCCCTAGAGTAGAATAAACACGCACCTGTCTCGTGTGTGACTACATAGGCTTTTGCAGCATGACATGATGATCTTTTTTGAACTTTGAAATATATACACTTTCATGGGTCATTGACCATGTTGCCACCTTTTTAATAAAAAATTACCGGATTGCCACGTCAGAAATTTTTTTTGTCAAAATGCCACGTCACAATTTCGCTGGTCTGACAAGCGGGAATGGTATTAAAAGGTGGAAAACTGATACATATTTCCCGCATCTCAAATATTGCAAATATCAACATCATCAACACCTTTAACCCAAACTAGTTGAGATCTCAAACATTGCAAACTAGTGAACAATTTCCTATACTTTCATTCATTCTTTCTTCCTCTAAGTTAATTTGACACTAAGTTAACAACCAAGCTATTTAAAGGAAATGGCTTCATTAAGCAAAGACGACAGCACACAAATTTTCAATAGCAAAATTCCAGCTTATCAGTTAACTGAACAATACCTTTGATACAAGAAGTGCTGCAAGTTTCCTTTGATGATGATCAAACTCCTCGTCTTCATACAAACTCTCTCTGTTCACCACTATACTTTCACTCATTTTTTCTATAAAACTAGCATTACTTTATGTTGAGCATGAATAAATATTTTCATATAAATATGTTGGAAAAAAAAGCAAGACTAAGAAAGAGGGAATTTACTCTTGTCCAACGGAATGCCATGGTTCCCAACCAGTAGGTTTTATAATGTTGGACATATAGGTGTTATAGAAAAGAACTCTAGCGTAATCTCTCCAAGGCCTTCCTAAGTAAGTTTTCCCATTTCCAAAAACCTTGCAATCTTTGAAAACAAAACCAGTTGCATCGTTTGGATTATTTCTCCCATGTGCTGTGATATAACCAGGCCTACCTGGACCCAGTGCCGCATCAATAACAGATATGGAACACCTTTGAAAAAAATAAACAAACTAATTATACATAGAATCATGGTTTTGCAAATCCGTAGTTTATCTAAAAAAACTACTCATACATAAATACAATTTTCATAATAGGCATAAACATAAACTAAGAGATAAAGTAAGTTGGCTCAACTTCTTAGGTTGCTGTAAAAAAATTTCTTATATGCTATCAATTACAACTATGTATTATGAGTAGTACATCGTTATAATATTAAAAAAAATTCTTCGCTACATCAATCGACAGACTTTTGAGGAGAGAGAAAAAAATAACTTTTAAAATTATAACTATATATTACCCTTAATACATAATTATAATTGACTATTATTACCCCAAACAAAGCATGGCCTGCACCAAAGATAAAATCAACGGCACCTTGTATGGTACAATACTTGTAGTAATGTCTTCCTGATTCGTCTCACAAAGTGTCTTGGAAACCAAAAAAGCCAACTCTATAAAAGTAAATTTTGTCACCGCATACCTTCGCCGCTACCGCAGGTGCCATGTCACTTGCCAAGTCATTAATTTTTAATGGATTGTTGTATGAATTCTGGTCAGAATAATGAGACAAATTTAAGAACTTTATCCCAACTCAATACTCTTAGGATTGATAACAAATAAAAAAGACTACAAAACTATTTAAAAAAAAAAAAAGACTACAAAACTAAACATAGATTCTGTAACAAAAAAAATAAAAGACCAATGCTTACCCAAAAAAAAATCAAAAATCAAAAAGTGAAATGTTGAAATCCAAAAAAATAAAAAATATTAGGGGAAAAAATAATATAAAAGTTTCTACAAATAAGCTTCTGAAATATTAATATCTGGACAATTCATATGTATCACTAAACTACAATAATTAGGAATTTAAAATTCATAGGTGTTAGACAAGGTGGGACATACTACACATGAAAGATAGCATTATTTATAATTTGAAACATAAATAAATGAATTGCTATTATTATTATTTGAAAATGAGAAGCTTCAATCTAAAACATTGCCTTATTGACAGAGGTAAATGGAATTTTTAGTAAGATACATAAATGGTTATTATTAGAATTTAATTAAATATATCACATGATTCCCGCAGATAATTCAACCGTTAATATTATTTCATCACAGATTTAAATGAAACAACAATTAGAATATTTCTCACCCTAAAACTCATGTATTTGACAAAAATATTGTCAGCCAGGAATTCGATCGTAGGACTTTCAGCGGTTGAAGCATGGTCATTCCCATCAACAATAGTGTTCCTATTTTTCTCTCCTACTAGTGGGATGTAAGGCTTGTCAAATGGAATTTTCACTTTTTCCCTGAAAAAAAACAAAACATACTTTGCTTAATCCATTAAGATTTGAAAGATAGATAGAATAATTGACAATCTCAATAATCTATCGTACTTAATTCATTAAGATCTTTTAATTATAATTTTTAAATCACAATCAACTAAATTATTTTTATCATCTCTTAAATAATTGGTCTTTTGACCATTTTAATGCTACTTAAACAAACAAAGTACAAAATTGATGGAAAAGGAAATATATATATATTTTTTAAAATAATGTAACAAGACATGCACAAGGAGTGTACGTTACTTGCACATAAACAAATAATCATCAGCTACGTGATGCACTATAAATCACTCAAGAGATGTGCACAGTTTTCACTATTAAACTCCTCACGTATGCACCCCATGTTCGATATAAACTCGCACACCCTATATGTAAGAACCCGCACCGTTAATTAAGATATTTAATTAATTAATTATACAAAAATAAGAAATGATTCCATAATTGATCCTAATAATTATTTATGAGGCTTAATAATCATAATAAGTGATTAAGAATGCTGAAAGTCGCTTTTCGGAAGAAAAGTGCAGATACCGGTTCTGCTAGTCGGTATAACTGTGTACCGAAAAAGTATCCCAGAAAATTAAATTAAGTACATGATAATTACTAGAATAATATGTAGGACTTGTAAATCGAGTTTCAAGTCCAAATATTGAGAACTGGTGCTAGAAACCGGTACTGACTTGGAAAAGCGTGTACCAGAAAGTTGCTCAGAAAATTATAAGAAAAATATGTTAATTCTTAGAAAATTATGTAGTTTCATAATCCAAAGTTTGGGATTAAAATGATAAGCGTAGCAATTAAAGTTAATACTGCGTGCTTAAGTGAGTTTTGGCTATAAATACTCCCATTATGGGCACAAAACCCTAGGATCAGATTTCTCTACGTGAGTTGGGGCTGACCATTTGCTGGTTATTGTTCCATTGGCTTTCCCTTCCATTTCTTGAGCCAAGTTGTGATCTTTCTTGAGTTTCTTCACATTTCCACCTTGTAAACACTTGGGAGCAGCCTTGTGGGAGTGAAAGAAGGGTCTTTTCTGAGTCTTAGCCACTATTTGAGTCAGTCTTGAGGGCTAAGTTTGGAGGTTGAGTAGTGGAAGCCTTGGTCTTGCCATTTGTGAACTCCTAGTGCCTATCTTTGTGGAGAAAGGAGCCATCTATTGTGCATTTTCGTGCACCTTCTTAGTCAGAATTGTGAGGAGCTGTGTTGAGCTCCAAGAGCATCTCCATTCTGAGTTTTGAGTCTTGGTATGTTGTACCAACCTTTAACTTGAGTTTTAAGGCTTAAAAATGGAAGCTTGATGCATGTTAAGGTTAAAAGATGATAACTTGTTGTTGGGTAAGGCTTAACACACCTAGAAATGCATGATTAGGTGTTTAAAATCGGTAAAAGGGAACCTTTAAGGGATATCTTCACGGAAATGCAGAAACTGCATTCTGCCGTGAAATATCCGGATATCTGCCCGTGGAATATTCGGATATGGGATATCCGGATATGATATCCGGATATATATATTCGGATATGGGGTTTTGGGATATCTGGATATTGTATATTCGGATATGGGATTCTCGATATCCGGATATTGAATATCCGGATATGTACAGTGAGATATCCGGATATTGCATATCCGGATATGGTCCCGAGGAGTATCCAGATATTCTGGGATTTCGCAGAACAGTAGCTGTGCTGTGCATACAGTAGGCTATTGGGGGTTTGTAGACCCTAGATTGATGAAGTTGAACTTCTGTATTTAATGGATTAAGCCAGAATCATGAGATTAAGGGCTTGTGGCTTTGTTAGAAGCTTTAAGACTTGAAAACGTAATGAAAAGGCGTTGTCTTTAATGTGTATGCATGTGGTACATGTTTATTGATTTATATTTGGTCCATATCAGATTGTGATCTGCTGTGATTGGACTTTGAGCTTGTGGAAATAAGATTAAATTTAACGCTAACCGCGACGACTGTTGTTTGGATGATAACATTGTTGTCGTTGTTGGATGTGTAAATATTTCTTTCACACAATTTTTTTCTTTGTTCTTGTCGTTTTTTATTTACTAATTTGATCATTTCTTAATATCATATATATATATATATATATATATATATATATATAAGAAAAATATTTCTCAAGCTGTTTGAGATATATTTATCTCCGGTCACTCTAAAACTACGTCGTTTTATTTATTTATTTCTTTGTATTAATTGATTCACCTTTGAATGGTTATGATTTCTTTTTTCTCTCTCTTTCTTTATCACTATTGATTCAACTTTGTACGGTGATGATTTAGTAGCCGTATATATACATACATATATATATATACATATTTATGGGAAAAATATTTCTGCAGTTAATGCAGATAAGTTATCTGCATTTATTCCCAAAATGACGTCGTTTTGGTATTGAAATCTCAAAAAATTATTAAGTAAAAGACTATTATAACCGTGAAATAAATTAAAATTACAAAAATACTATGATTTCCGTCCCAAAACGACGTCGTATTGATTTACTGCAGATAGCTTATCTGCAGTTACTGCAGAAAAAATGAACCTATATATATATGAGTTCACTTTTTCTGCAGTTACTGTAGATAAGTTAAATGCAGTAAGCCCAATGTGACATCGTTTTGGGGCATAAATCATGATATTTTGTAATTTTGATTTATTTCAGGGTTATAATAGTCTTTATATTTATAACTTTTTAAGATTTCAATACCAAAACGACGTCGTTTTAGGAATAAATGCAGATAACTTATCTGCATTAATTGCATAAATATTTTTCCATATATATATATATATATATATAGATATATATAGGGATAAGATCATTTGACACCGGTGTCAAACTTTGAAAATTGACACGAAATCCTAACTGATAATTTCCGTCAATCAACGGTTATAATTTATTGGGAATCAAACTTATTAATTAACTATTATTTTCAATAAATGATAACTGTTGATTGGCAGAAATCAACGGTTAGGATTTGGTATTAAACTTTAAAGTTTGACCCTAGTATCAAAGGATCATTGATGTGAGTCTAGCAGATGATGTTTTCTAACTTAAAAGAAGCAAGGAATTAATAATAAATGTGTGAAAATAGTCATTAAATGCAATAAATATTGATTATTTCTTCTCAATCATCATCTCACTCAAGTTATATGTTAAATTGTAGGAAACGCCGCAAAAAGGAGCAAAAATGGAGAAACCAAATTTTTCGCTGGCGCACGACGCGCGGTACTGGCGCACGCCACTCCAGAGTTGGCGCCCGGGGCGCCAAAGTGACGATTTGCTTCTGTTTCGGCCGCGCACGGCGTTCGGGAGGTGGCGCACAGCGCCAACCCGGCGCCCGGCGCGCGGGAGTTGGCGCACGGCGCGCGGGACTGGCGCACGGCACTCCAGAGTTGGTGCCCGGGGCGCCGTTGACAGATTCATCTTCTGTTTCTCCCAAGTTTGGGGCGCCAGGCTTGGTGCCCCGTGCGTGGGCGATATAATTTTTACTGCGAATCACCCAAAATAAGGCCCAATTGGGGTGCAAGTGAAAAGAGGTTTTCCCAAAACCTAATAAAAGGATGGAGAAACAGAAGAAGAACAACTTTTCTGACAATCAAGAGGAGAAAAACAACAAAGAGAGTGGAGATTCCAGGATTCGATCGATCAAGACGGAAGATCTTCATCTTCCCTTTCTCTTCTAGGTTTTAAATGCTACTTTATTTTATTAGTATCATAATTAATTCTTAAAAATAATACAAATTTTGTAACATGTGATTACTTTATTCTAATTTGCTTCCACCTTGTGTCGATATATTTTTTATGCCAATGATGAGTTCCTAAAGCAAAATTAAGGGCAATAGGAAAGTAATTAAAAAGTCCCAACGTGGGAGAATTAATGTGATGTTAGGTGATATTCATATCATTTACTTTAAAATTTGAGAAAATAAAATTCAGATTTAATATTTGACTTTGAATTTCACCTAAAAAATAGAGATTAAAGATCACTTGCAAATGGGCCAAAGAGCAACAGACATTAAGATACATTGTCAAAAGTAGTAATCTAAAGACTACAAGTGATAACTGAATTTTGGTTAATAAAAAAATATAAATATGTATGAATATTGACAGTGGATTGCAAGCTAACTTTCTTGTATAAGTTTAATTTGTTATTCTGTTTATACAATAATTATTTTATTTCCACATTTCAGCTGGAAGAAAAGAAAGAGTGAAGTGTTTCATTTCAGCAATTTTCTGTTTTTTTTGTGTGTATAAATCCATTTTTTTTATCTCAGTAGAAATGATTTTAATATTTTATTTTATTGGTTGTCAGAGTGATCGAATTATTATAAATTACTAGTTCTTAGAGTTGGTGACATTAAGGGTGTGGCACATATAGATTTCAACGCTTGGACGACGCGTCAAAAGGCCACTAAAAACAAAGACCTTACACGAGGAAGTTTTGGTTAATGCTCCAATGAGTAATTGGAAAAAGAAGTCTCTAACTTCAACTAAACAACTCATCAATGGATATCACAAAGAAAAAGAGCAAAAGAACTTATTAAATAAAAATAAATGAGTAATTGGAATATAAGAGTCTCCAATGACCAAGTCATCAATGAATCACAACTAAAAGAGATAAACAAATTACTAAATGAAAGAAATACATGGTTATGAACACAAACTACCGTGGTTCTTCTCATGCAATTTCAGCTAAAGATACTCTTAATTTTCTTTTTTATTTTATTCGGAACCCTACCAATAATTCTTAATCTGTCAACCCATCCTTCAGTGTCAATGAATTTCAAACTTGCTAACTCCTTAACTGTTGATAAACCCAACTTCGTAGTCCAATTCACTCGCTTGGATGTTTTAGCACCAGGTCCAAAATTGTCATACTCCGCAAACGTTATGCGATCCCTGCAATTTTTTATATCAAAAAATGAATCCCCTAGCAGAGAAATTAAAAGACATACAAAAGGAAAAAAAAACAAAACAAAACAAAACGTTGACGTGTTGTATTCTTAAAGAAAAAAAAAATTACTGAAAATAATGTCAAATATTTTCAAATAAAGATGTATTAAAGTGTTTTTTTTTCTTTTAGGTATGTTCAATTTCATTTGTAACGTAAAAACGGGTGTGAATCCTCTCATTTGTTATTTAATATGATAATGTGATATGAGAGTATCCTACAAGTGAATCAACAGTGATCAGGGATGAGAAAAAAAATATATATGAATAGGAAGTTACAAAAAATTTCACATTTAATTTGGTACTTGATGATTAGGATTCTTCTACATGAGGTGATAATGTTAAATGATACCGACAATGTTATTAAAACCGGCCCGGTCATAGACCCGGTCGAGGTACCGGGTCACTGGGTCACTAGTTCAACCAGTGGATCACTAGTTCAACCGCATGACCCGGTAATTATATACAATTTTATAATTTATATTAAAAAATTATAAACATACTCACATATCTAAAAAAAATGATAAAAATTTCAAATATTTTAATACAAAAAATAATAAATCACATATTATTATCAAATAAAAAATCAAACAAAAATATAATGATCGTGATACGAGGCTTTAGGTTCAGAAAATGACATCTCTAACTATAAATTAATTCAAAATTTTCTGCATAATACATAATTGAAGGTACATAACTTATGTAAGTCAATAGGTAAAAAAATCCAAATATGTCTATTATGATGTTTTTTGAAAAAAAAAATTAGAATTTTTTTAGGACTGGGCCGGGTCACCGTTTTTATGAAAACCGGCCGGGTCGGATCGAGTCGCACCGATTCTGATGCATGACCGGTCTATTGCTTCTACCGGGCTGGTTATATGACCGGTTTATCGATTCTCGGGTCGACCCGGCCGGGTCGATCTAGTTTTAATAACTATGGATACATTATCCATTTCCATAAAACACATCTAATTTTTTTTCTAAAAAAAGGAAGAAATTAACTTTTCTTTATTACCCTGGGATCTATTTTACAATATAAGGATAGAGGGGAAACATTTTGCCATTTTAAAAAATCTAAATTAAGTCATTTTATCTCCTTATAACTATATATTCTGGGAAATACATAGTTATAATATTAAAGTTGTATTTTTTTATGAAGAGTGAGAAAAAATACAACTTTAATATTATAACTATAACTCCCTGAAATACATAGTTAGAAGAGGATAAAATGACATAACTTGGGTCCATTAAAAGGACAAACTATTTTCCCAAAGATAAAACATCCGTACAAGTTACAATTCAAGCGTTTCTAGTAGAAAGTTTTATGTTAAGTTCTACATATTAAACTAGCATTATTATATGGGTTTAGTGTGTGTCATTCAAAATGATAGTTCTTTTTCCCTTATTATATATGTTGAACATGAATTAATGTAGTCACATAACTACGCTTTTGTTGAGAAAACAAGAGTAAGAAAAAGTGAACTTACTCGTGTCCAGCGGAATACCATGCATCCCAACCACTAGGTTGTACAATGGAGGACATATAGGTATTGTAGAAGAGAACTCTAGAGTAATCTCCCCATGCCCTTCCCAAGTAAATTGACCCAGTTCCAAACACCTTACAATCTTTGAAAACAAAACCATTTGAATCTTTTGGACTTGATCTCCCTTGTGCTGTGATATAACCAGGCCAACCTGGACCTAGTGCCCCATCAATAACATATATGGCACAACTCTACAAAAACAAATAAATAAATGAGTTATACTATAGAATCATGGTTTTGCTAATGCTTATAATATTCAAAATAATTAATTACTCAAATCTTAACATGCACACAAATGCTATTAATTAATTATTTTCATAGGCATAAACATGAACAAGAGAAAAATAAATAGCTTTAGTATTACCTCAAATAAAGCCTGGCCTCTGCCAAAGATAAAATCAATAGCACCTTGTATGGTACAAAGCTTGTAGTAATGTCTTCCCGATTCGTCCCACAAAGTGTCTTGCATACCAAAGAAACCAACTCTAAAAAAGTAACACTTGTCGCCCGTTACCATTGCAGCTACGGCAGGTGTTACGGGATTACTATTCATTGGATTGTTGTATGAATTCTGGTTCACATTAAGAGACAAATTTTAGAACTCTATCACAACTCAATATTTTTTTGGGTTGATGAAAAGGGCTACAAAAATTAACATAGATTCAACCCCACAAAAAATAAAGAATAGAAAACTAAACACAGATTAAGAACCAACAAAAAGGAGATTTCTATAGAGACAATCTATTAAGTAAATCTTCACCCACACACACATATATATATATATATATCTTCAATCAAATTTTTTACGTGAAATCCTCAATGATACTGAATGGTTAAATATTAAAAAAATTGTTATATCAAAATTTGTGAATATTTATAAAAATAAAGAAATACAAAATTCACATGTTAAAATTTTGTAAAGTTTCAACAAAATATCCATTACCCATACTCACGTGTCCATACATTATTATTAAGGAAACTTTCTATTTAATTGACTGTTTTCATTAACTAATTTTAATGAAATTAAAATCATGTGTCTAAACCTTAATATTAAGGAAACTTTACGTACAAAAATTTTGAACAATGACATACACTAGTGCATACACAATCATTAAAAGTTTTTGTACTAATTTAACCAAACATTATCCTTGTTGAATAAAAAATTTAATTTTTTTCTCCGTGCATCGCACGAATAATGCACTAGTAATTTATAATAATTCGATAACTCTAAGTGAGATTATGGATAATTATTATTATTAATTAGGGAAACTTTATTATTTTCATTGCTAATTTTTATGAAATTAAAATCATGTGTCTAAACTTAATATTAAGGAAACTTTCTATTAGTTGAGAACTTTAAATAATTTTAATTGTATTGAAATTAAAATTTTAAAATGTATTCATATCTATAATCTCTGGGAAAAAGTGAATGTCCATCCAGAAAAAAATTGAGTCGCACTAAATAACAGATCAAGAAGTGAAAATGACGAAAGACAATTGTGCATATATAATACTTTAGGGGGGAAAGTTTCTGCAAATAAACTTCTATAACAATAGTTACAGGGCAATAAATAGATTATGCCTAGAATTCTAATATTTATTAACCAAAGAATTGTTCATATTTTAATCAAATCAATATTATATATTATTCTTTGTCAAAAATAAAATTAATTCTTATGAGTGGGTTTTGAACTAACTCCACCAACCACTAAAGACCAAAATATTGTACCTTAGTTAAATAATTCTAGTTCTTAATACATTCCTAGTTTGAGTTTGACACTAGAATAGGGGACGAGAAAACAAATGTGAAACAAGGGCAACCAAACACACACTTCCTGTGCACACATGCATTACAAAAACATATAGGTCAAAATTGTGGTGGAATATACAAGAAATAAAAAATAACATATTTATAATTTAAAATAAAAATTAATGCATTATTATCATCACGAAGTTTTTAGAGCATTGAGCATTGTCCATTGAAAGAAAATAAAAAAGTTTTAAATGAAGCAGCAAGTAGAGCAATTCTTACCCTAAAGCTCATGGATTTGATAACAATATTGTCAGCCAAGATTGAGAATGTAGGACTTTGATCGGTTGCCGTATGGTCATCCCAGTCAACTAAAGTTGACCTCTTTCCATCTCCTTTTAGTATAATGTAAGGCTTATCCAGAGGAATCTTCACTTTTTCTCTGAAAAAAAAAAACACAAAATAAAACAAGTTTTTCAATCAGTTCATTGAGATTTGAGGCATTGAATTATTAAAAATCACAATAATCTATCATACATGATTGGTTTATATCTTCTAATAAAATTTTAAATCCTAGCCAATTAAATTATTTTTTTATCATATCTTAATTGATTATATTATGTTTTTCTAGGTCAATTTTAAATTTTACAACTGAAACAAAAAAACATATACTGCATGATTTCATATGAAATTCATAGAGGAGAATATTTACCTGTAGGTACCTTCATTCACTTTGATGTTGACCCAATGTCTGTTGTTGGAAGGGATTGAATCAATAGCAGATTGTATGGTAGAGAAGTTTCCATGCCCTGATTGATCCACAACTATTTTGGTATAAGGAAGGATTTTTTTTCCAACCTTTCTGTAAATCTGAGCATTAGCTAGCTCTACTTTCAACCCCACCAAGAGAAAGAGACAAGCAAAGAAACACCAACGAAGATTCATCATGATGGATCAAACAAAAAAGATCAGATCTTGTGTGGAGTGCTTCAAGAAGAAAAAGGAATAGCCCTCACACCACACAAGCCCTGACAAGACAACTTTTTTGCATTTGATTGAAACTGCAAAGATTAATCCGTATTTAAAGACAAATTTCCATATGCTGTGGAGGGAAAAATTAAAATAAAATCAAAGGTATATAAAAGGAAAATGCGTAATTACAGCAGAAATGGTTTCATATAAGGAAACAAATCTTTAATCATGGCCATGATTTCCCAAATTTAATATTTTATATTTATTTCTACCTTTGTATGAGTATGATTTTCCATATTTAATGCTTTCACTTTAAATTTGGGAAATCATGACCATACAAAGATGAAAATAAATATAACCGTTGGATCAACATAAACGATCTAACGGTGAGATTGACTGGGTGTCACATGGGTGTAACATAACTTGGGTGTCACAATATCCTATCCCATATATATATATATATATATATATATATATATATATATATATATATATATAAAAGTTAATTGTTTAGTCGCAAGACTTAATATTATGTTCTGTCACCTAAACATTAGGTCATTTTAAGTAAGAAAAAAATTGTGTCATTTGCGTTCAAAGTTTCCATCAAATAATAGTTCCTTGAAAGATTAAAATGAAAAAAAATAACACTTCCACACACAGCCACACACACTTGTGTATCACTCTATTACTAATAAATTAATCCCATAAATAAAATAATAATAATCACATATATGGAATCAATAATTGTAAATACAAAATTAATCACCATTAATTCATTACAGAAACAATCATCTATAATGACTCATATCCATAATTAATACTAAAATTATCCATGATTGACATCCATAATCAATTGAGATGTAATTCCTACACCTCTGCCCTCACTAAAGAAGATTTACTTAATTTTTATCATATTAATTAATTGTTTTTCGTTATTTATACAAACAGATTTAGTTGTAATTCCTATTAACCAAATGTATCACAATAATAATTAAGCATATCAGTTGGAAATAAGATTAAATTTAACGCTAACCGCGGCGACTGCTGTTTGGATGATAACATTGTTGTCGACTTGTCGTTGTTGGATGTGTAAATATTTCTTTCACACAATTTTTTTCCTTTGTTCTTGTCGTTTTTTATTTACTAATTTGATCATTTCTTAATATCATATATATATATATATATATATATATAAGAAAAATATTTCTCAAGCTACTTGACATATATTTATTTCCGATTAAAACTACGTCGTTTTATTTATTTATTTTCTTATTTTAATTGATTCACCTTTGAATGGTTATGATTTTTTTTTTCTCTCTCTTTCTTTATCACTATTGATTCATCTTTGTACGGTGATGATTTAGTAGCCGTATATATGTATATATGGGGTTTATACTTCTTATGCAACATAAGATGAGCCTTCTCATGCTACACTCACATTGTTTTACGTGCCAATAATTTTAATTTTTTTATTTAATATTTTCAATGGGGCCCACCTGATTATATGTGAGCTGCAAAAATTCTCATCTTATGTTACATAAAAAGTATAAACTCCATATATATATATATATATATATATATATATATATATATATATATATATATATATATATATATATAGCCCAATATGACGTCGTTTTAGGACAGAAATCATGGTATTTTGTAATTTTGATTTATTTCAGGGTTATAATAGTCTTTATATTTATAACTTTTTAAGATTTCAATACCAAAACGACGTCGTTTTAGGAATAAATGCAGATAACTTATCTGCATTAACTGCATAAATATTTTTTCCTATATATATATATAGAGGTAGGATCCTTTGACACCAGTGTCAAATTTGAAGTTTGACACCTCATCTGAGAGCCGTTAGATCAAAAAAGATCAATGGTGTCACATGCTTGCAAATCAGAGTCGCTGATCTTTTTTGATCTTACGGCTCTCAGATGAGGTGTCAAAATTAAAATTTGACACCGGTGTCAAAGGATCCTATAGAGGTAGGATCCTTTGACACCAGTGTCAAATTTGAAGTTTGACACCTCATCTGAGAGCCGTTAGATCAAAAAAGATCAATGGTGTCACATGCTTGCAAATCAGAGTCGCTGATCTTTTTTTATCTTAAGGCTCTCAGATGAGGTGTCAAAATTAAAATTTGACACCGGTGTCAAAGGATCCTACCTATATATATATAGGGATAAGATCATTTGACACCGGTGTCAAACTATGAAATCCTAACTGTTAATTTCCGTCAATCAACGGTTATCATTTATTGGGAATCAAACTTATTAATTAATTATTATTTTCATTAAATGATAACTGTTGATTGGCAAAAATCAACGGTTAAGATTTGGTGTTAAACTTTAAAGTTTGACCCCAGTATCAAAGCATCATGCCTTATATTATATATATATATATATATATATATATATATATATATATATATATATATATATATATATATTGAATAAATTTTCTCCACTAAATGATTTAATTTTCACAGATTTTTAAACCTCCACAATTTGACATTATATTTTGCTATTTAAATTGCTTGAAAATATATAATATACTATCCTTGATAAAAAATAAATAAATAAAGGTAGTAAAAGGTATAATCATCCCCAAAAGAAAAATTCGATATAACTATTTTTTATATTTTCATTTAATTTATTAATTAATTTATTTTGAAGTTTGCCAAAACTTTCTGGAGAATGAGAATGAGATACAGATAGCACTCTAACTAATCGCAACTGCAACTTTGGATCTCCACCTTATCCCTCTCTCACTCTCTCTCTTCGCGCCAACGCTCGATCCTTCATTATGTTACCTTCAAATCAATTCATTTTCTATTCGATATTCAATTTCTGCTTTTTACGATTCCAATGGCACATTTTCACTCTTGTTGTGCTTAGTTGAACTGAAATCTGCTGCGTTTCCATTTTTCAATCCGGTAATTAATGCGAGTGATTGGCTTGTTCTTCACTAAAATTGAATTGTTTAAATTTGCATGCAATTTTTTTTTTTTTTTTGTTTCTTTGTTTGTGTTGCCATGAATTTTTTGATGCGGTCTACTACGAATGTGTATACATAACACGTTCATTGATTCCGCAACCTCGCGTTGACACTCATAATAGGTCTGCATCTGCTGGATCTTCTCTGGAGACTATAATGTTTAATGATCTATACCCATCGTATGAAGCTAAGGTTGATTGCAGCATGCATGTAATGAAATCCTAGTTAATTATAAAACATTCAAATCCTAGTTAATTTTAAACACAATTATCGACAGATTATTTTGGCCTGTAATGAAAGATTCTAAAAGATTTGTCTAAACTATTGGTGAACGAGAGTAGTTAATTAGGTATTCAACAAATTAATACAAAATATAAATTTGTCCAAAAAATTATAAATACAAGCCCTTTACCAAAATTGTGTGTGTGTTTTGGTAGTATATAAGTATATAATTAACGGAGAATGTTATACTTATTACCTCTTTTTCTTACTACCAAATCTTAACCGTTATTCCTGTCAATCTAACGGTTATAATTTATGAAATCATACTTATTAATTAATTATTAACTTTTAATAAATTATAACCGTTAGATTGACGGAAATCAGCGGTTAAAATTTGGTAATAAGAAGTAGTAAGAAAAGTAGGTACTAAGTATAATCTTTCCCTTCACGGGGAAGGTTATCACATGTCACTTTCTTCTTAAAGTTATTAAAGTTTAAGAAAAATAGGTAGTAAGTATAATCTTTCCCGGAAGGTTATCACATAATTAACAGTTATTAAAGTTTATCACATTTCACTTTCTTCTTGTTTATTAATTTTTGAAAGCTGAATGTTATGATCGAAACATTGATGATGATTACAATTGTAGCATTGATGGTAATTATAATCATAACATTAATGATGATTACGATTGTAGCATTGATGATGATTACAATTGTTGCATTGTTGATGATTATAACGTTAATCATAACAGTCATCAATTTTACAATCATAACATTAATGACTGTTACGATGATAACATTAATGATTGTATAATCATCATCAATGCTACGATTATAATCATTATCAATGTTATGATCTTAACAATGAATCTTGGTGGTATATGAAAACATAATTAAAAACATTGACAATTTAATTGATAATTTAATAGTAAAATTCTAAGTTAATTTGTTTAAAAATTTGTGTTATTATTGAAGGAATAAGATATACAACACACACTCTTAATGCACATAAAATTGTTTTTTTTTTTTTTTTGTTATTTTGTTCCCATATCAACATGGGCAAAAGGTGCCGCGGTTCATGTGTATGTCTTGATGTGAGGGTGACGCGTGCAGTTGTTTGGTAGGTTTGTCTTTATCTTTGTCTTTGACATCCATGCTCTTTTTTTATTATTTTATATTAACAAAAAGAAAAAGCAAGTCAAACCCAATGGGTGCAGCTCAGTTGGTAACTTGGCGCTGAGTTATTCCTGCTGAATGTTTTATGCTTTTGGGCTAGTGCAAGTATCTGATGGAGATTTTAGCTATTTCAAATCTTTAAATTCTATTTTTTATTCTAAATTTTATTTTCTCAAATTTGAAAGTCAACTATATGAATGTCAGCTAACATCACATTGATTCGCTCACATTAATTACTTCCTTATTTCCGTCCTTAATTTCGCTTTAGAAAATTATTATTGACATGAAAATGTGAACATATCACGGGGAAGCAAAGAAGCAAGTGTGATAATTTTAGGAAAAATTTCAAAGATTGAAATAGAAACATTTAATTAATCTAAATCATAAAATTTGTATTATATTTAATAACAGAAAAATATTTCTGCAGTTACTGCAGATAAATTATCTGCATTTACTTTCAAAACAGCGTCGTTTTGTGATTGAAATATTAAAAAATTATAATTATAAAGACTATAATAACTCTGAAATAAATTAAAATGAAAAAAACACCATGATTTCTGCCCCAA